TATCTCTCCAATGCCAGTCCACTCATCACACATTCTGCCTTGTGCCCTTTCCCATTGATGAAGTAGTGCGCAATGCTGCCCTCCTGCCACTGGATAGAGGAGAGAGAGTGATTGGGCAGGCAGCCATAGTTATGAGGTGTTAGGCAAGCGGCCATAGCTACCGTCTTTCCCCGAATAGAACATGAGGTTGATACAGCTGTATCAGACTGAATGTTGCCTCAGATACAGTTATAACGACCATACACTCTATTCGAGGGAAGATGGTATTAAACATAGGAGGAGAAGAAGGATGATGGGAGAGACACAATGGGAGAAGTAGCCTGAGGGTGGAGGAAGCTCACATAGTAAGTGGCGGCCATAACCACATTGAAGACCGGGATAATAGAGCCTGGAAACTAACGGGCAAGAGCAGAGATGGCGAACACTTGTGGGATCCGAGATCCAATACCAGAAAACCGCTGAGAGAAATTTGGGATATCCTTAAAGGTGCAATCAGACTTGTCTTCACCTCCCGTTCAACATGCCTACATGCAGCTGGCGATGGCAACAGAGACTTCCACAGACGCAGAATCAGCAACAGACTTGAGATGGCCCAGTGCGGTCACACACAAAACTCAGAGATATGGCCTTCGGCCAGGAACTCAGCTCAAAACAACTTGTCACATCTCATGGCTATGGCGTCTGAGCGCCAGTCTGGAATTCCCACCCGAACATGGCATCCACAGTCAGACACACTCACACGCACGTACGCACACAACACTTGGATGTACACTGAATGTCTGCACATACACACACGCTAACTACTAACTTGTCACACTGGTGGCTATGGCCGCAGTCGTCTTCCTCCTCTTTAGCGGCTATGGCCGCTTGTCCTCTTCCACCCTCGGGCTCTCTTGCTGACCACCGGTGAACTCAGCGCACAAGTCACTCGAGCACCGCTTCCACGTAGTTCCCCAGATAATGAGTGAATGACTGGTCGCTGCCTCTTTATTTATACTGTTTCGTTTGGTGATCTGGGCCTGCCCGATGTCCCAGGCTCTCAAGATGTGGAGTCCCACTCTGGTACTCGCTGCAAAACGGGCTGGACTGGGACTGCCCTTTCACTTGCCCCTTCGGTTGGGACTCTTGACCTTTCAGAGACCGACGAACTGCCCTTTCAACCTGCAAGAGGTCAAGTTGACTCTTCGAGCACTACTCTAGCCACGACCTACTGACCTTTCAGAGGACGTATGGCCAGTTGACCTTTTCAAAGGTCAAATGTAGATTTGCCATTTTAGGAAACTTACAGACAACCCTAAAAGACTTCTAACAACTAATCTACGGATAAAATCCACACGACCCAAGCTGCACACTCAAAACATTTGTACACAGTTTTAAGGACAGGTCGGAGGTTCAAAGCACACAGGGTCAACGGGCAACTATACAGTGGGCTAGGGAAGGTCTGGGGATCGAGTCCTGGTATCTGCAATGTTGCACGAACTGGGTGAAACCCTCTCAAAGGGGGTCACAGTCTACAAGACAATCTGGAGGAGATGTGAGACAACATTCCCCTGGCATGGAGGCAGCTGCTTAAAAAAGAGGAAAAGTAGAAACCGGAGGATTGGGCAATTGTAAAAGCTCAGGCCAAACCATCAGTGGCTCTGAAATTCAGAAAATATACTAATGTACAACAGGGGAAAAGTACGTCATCCGCATCACACTAAATCCTAACACCTATTACCGACCACACCACCCCCCACCAAGATGACCACTCCAAGCTCCCGACCTCAATGCGTCTTCCTCTTCCCAGAACTCTCACATAACCTGGAGCTTAAACCCAATAACCACATGATCCGTCATATAGAGAGCAGCGTATCGGCTTGGTAAACAACAACCGGAACTTTTAATGGAAGGGAAACATTACAAATCAGTACAAGTGTAATGCAGTTCTTTTAGCTACATAAGAACGACCGACAGCCAAGAAGGAGAGTCTTTTAAACAGCAAGGTAACAGAACCAGCAGAAGTAAAGATCTGCAATCCCCCATTCAAACCCGCGAGGGCATGGAGCCCTCTTTTGATAAGTCAAACAGGGATCGGGGTCCAGCATAAGTATACACCAAAGGGACCTACCAGCAGTTCTGACTTCAAGGTACATAGCTGACAGCTAGTAAAACAACAACTCAACCGAGGGTTTAGGTTTTAAAGTCTAGGCAGAAACGGAATAAGTAGGGGCTTAGAGTTTTAGAAACCTCCTAAACATCACCGGTGCTCCAGACCACTCTAGTACAACACATCAACTTGACAGCACCACAGCTGAGAGGAGTAGGACAGGGGCCAAAATGTTTAAATTTTTTTGAAAACAGCCAAGCAATGTATGTAGCACAGGCTAACTTAGGCAGAGGTGAGGGGTGGTACATCCTACCTCAGGGAAGTAGTCAATGCCGTCCACTCGGGCCTCCCAGCCATAATGGGGAGGAGCGTGCGTGAGTCGCTTATGTATCCCAATTTGACTTGCCGGGGGAATAGGAACCGGACTGTTGCTCCCCAGAATGGCGGGAGCCAGAACCAGGAGGTTTTGTTTAAAAAAAAAAAAAAAAAAA